AGGAATGCCATTGAAATAGTATGATGTACCACTCACCTTCGGAGTAGCCAAGATGCTGTGCTTTCTGCTTCCCAACTTTGAGCATTTCTTTGTTAATGTCACAGACCACCACATGGGAATCCCCTAGTGACTTAAATTTGTCTTCCTGGTAACTCTCAGAAATTTCTTGCCATGATAGGTTCTGATGATGTTTAAGCTTCTGTTGGAGCTGGCGTTCTCGTACAGAGCGAACGTAATTAAGAAACCGAAAGGCAATGTCCCCTACACATGTTTTAAAAGAAAGATACAAAGTTTTGGAATGATTTTTGAGTCCAGGAAATTGGAACTTCAGGCTTTAAACATCAAAATGAACTAATTTTCATTCATATATAAAAATAAAACCCAAACACAGTCTATATATATATAGAACGTTTATGTCAAAATATACAAAGGGAACACATTGTAAGCAAAGAGTCTGTGATTTGCTACAAATGGAAGCAGTTTCCTGTAACATATTAGTACTATAATACTTCAGAGCCCCTGAAGCAAGATATTTCAAAACACAGCATCAGCTCTCAACTGTTCTGTGTGAAAGTCAAGTAGAGGCTTCACTAGTTTTAAAGACAGAGAGCTGCAGGGAAAAACAAAAACCAAAACACCACACCACAAAGTAGTAGGCAACTTGAGTCTGAGCAGACTCAAAAAGTTCGAAACCAGGAACTCACAGAAATTATTTACCTGTTCCTCCAGCAACATCAAGAAGAAGTGTTCCTGGGGAAGGGTTCATTTTATGCACGAAGATATCCTTCCATACTCGATGAATCCCAAGAGTCATTGAGTCATTCATGACATCGTATTTCTTGGCTACGCTTTCAAAGACCTGATAAACTGCAAAGAGAGGAGATTCAGTTTATTTAAAAATGCTCCTGTGGAAGTAAAACGTATCCTCTCTTGCTTCGTGGAGGTCTGTTACCACGTGAACCTGAAAACACCACCTGAAAACCCCTCACGAACAATACGCCAAAGGTTTCTCTGGACAAACAGCTTCTTCTTGTAACCTATCCCGGGGCTGTGGGAAAGAACGCAGCTAGCCTAACATCAACGCTGTTCACCGGGACTCCCAGTAACGTCTCAAACCAACGAACGGCCCAGCACCCCTCCGGCCCCGCGCCAGCTGCCCCGGAGACC